CATGACTTGGGTTTAAAGAGAACTTGACTCATTCATAGATAGAGCACAGCCTTCTAATCAATGAGCTATGCAGTTGTCTCAGTCCTGTTAATTAACCCTAAGCCATGACATCGGGCTCCTTATGTGGCCTTGACAATGCACACTAAAAGCATTAACAGGGACACCACCCATGCGCAACATGGCACTATTAATACTCTGATATTTTGCAGCTGTTGATGGAATCAGCCTCTCTGAGAGCTACCACAGAGTTCGGGAAACCTTACTACCAGCCGGCCTCAGAACCATTAAACTGAGTTTTAGAGCTGTACCCTCATATGGAGATAACAGGAAGAGTTGCATGGCCATTATCAAGGAGGCATAAGAAAAATTCTATGAGTAGAGTCAAGGAGATCCAGCATTCATCATCCTAGGCAGGAAACAATGTAACGCAAGTTACATCTATGCCAGCCTAATAGATGAAGAAGGGGTTTGAGGCTGGTTAGCAGAATTTTTCGGCTTACCCCTGAAGTCTTTGCCTAGGAGGCCTTCTACAAGACAGTAGCTGGATGCAGTTAACATCTGCCCAAGATGAGTATTTTTATCGAGACACAATCTCTAGCCTTTACTCAACCAAGAGCCCCAAGGCAGGGGATGTTTAGCTGGATGCAGTTAACATCTGCCCAAGATGAGTATTTTTATCGAGACACCATCTCTAGCCTTTACTCAACCAAGAGCCCCAAGGCAGGGGAATTTTTAGTCGGAGTTTATTTCTCCTAGCCTTTGCCTAAGAAGAGCTGCAAGGCAGCAGGGCTTGTGGCAGGTGGTACAGGGTTACGTGATACCAGTAGCAAGATTGATCTCGATTATCCTGACCTGACCTGGAGTAGTTAAAAGGAGTTACTTCCCGCAACAGTACTTTGAGAAAACCAGGCATGACATTTTGGAAGTGCATTAGGAAAAACACTGCATCTAACAAAATACAGGAGTCTAAGGAGAGTGTAGGTTTTGTAGTTGGAGTAAGTAGTTAGTTACTGAGCTCACACTTCATTAGAGTATAAACAGAACACAAACAAACATAAATCAACTTACAGGTGAGTCAACACCGCACCAGAGGTTCAGACAGAACACAAACATACATAAAAAAACATAAAAAACATAAACATAAACATAAAGTAACTTACGGGTGAGCGAACACCGCGCCAGAGGTTCAGACAGAACACAAACATACATATAAAGTAGATTACAGGTGAGCTAATACAGTAACTAAGGCATCTCCAACTATATGAAAAAAAAAAAAAAAAAAAAAAATTACTATAGGCATGACTGATATAAGATAGTACTGATGACAGGAAGAACACTCCTTCCAGCCTTTGCTTAGAAAGCAAATCCTGCAAGGCAGCAGAACATGGAACAGGTTGCACTGGGTTACATGTTACCACTAGCAGGATGATTATGAAGACCATACTCCTGACCTGACACTAGACCGTACTCCTGACTGACACAATATCCGGAAAAAGATATTCCCTGTAAATATTACATACTATAATACTTGCATAAAATTTGTTTGTTAAAAAAAAAAGTTGCTCAATAAAAATTTAGAACATAATATTTTATTTTTAATTATACTACACATATTATGTATGCAAAAATACTTCGACATCTTAAAACAAGTAATTATTCAACAATGTCATATACTGAAACATTTATACTTTTATCACTTCGATGATTACGGATCTAGATACTTCTATTCCCATTTATTATGTAAATATGTTTTTGTACACTTGTGAGATTTGGTACCATTAATAGCTATAATTTAATTATTCGCAAAAACCGGTATCAAAAATAGCTTAATTGAAAGAATATGTTATGAGTTGCAGAAAAGTTTCTATAAGAAATGTCAAACAAATAGAACTAACTTATATGACATAACTAGGATCCATGACCTGTTTCTATGTAAGAAGACCCAATAAATAACAAGTTTGACCCAATAATTTAGACCCATTGTTAGACATTCAAATCACTCCGGCTTCTGTTGCTCAAGTCATATCTCAATTAAACTCGTCTACAGCTTGTGGTCCAGACAACATTCCTGTCACAGTCTTGCAGAATTGTTCTCCAGAACTTTCTTCAATTCTCTCTAAACTATTTAACAAGTGTTTGACTGAGTCTTGTTTTCCTGCTTGTTGGAAAATGGCATCTGTGGTTCCGATATTCAAAAACTCTAGAGAAAATTCTGACCCTCCAATTATCGTCTGATCAGTCTTCTTTCTATTATTAACAAGGTCTTTGAGTCTTTGATCAACAAATTTCTCACATCTCATCTTAAGTCAAATAAACTACTGTCAGACAATCAATACGGTTTTCAATCCTCTCGCTCTACGGCCGACTTGCTAACTGCTGTAACTGAAAGATTTTATCGTGCATTAGATGGAGGTGGTGAGGCTAGGGCTATTGCTCTCGACATATCTAAAGCTTTCGACAAAGTTTGGCATGCTGGTCTTCTCCATAAGCTTGCTTCATATGGTGTTTCTGGGAAAGTTTTTGAGATTATCAAATCATTTCTTTCTAACCGGTTTATTAAAGTCATCCTTGAAGGCCAACACTCAGGCCAACACATTCTTTATTTCCAGTAACTTCTGGGGTTCCCCAAAGTTCCTGGGCCCTGTTTTGTTTCTTATCTACATAAACAATCTTCCTGACAACCTTTCATCTAAAGTAGCTCTTTTTGCTGATGACTCAACTTTATACTCCTGTCTTGACAAAAAGTCTTCTCTTTTCGATCGCCTAGAACAAGCAGCTGATCTTGAATCCGATCTCACTTCAGTAACAAATTGGGGTTCACAGTGGCTTGTGAATTTCAACTCTAACCAAACCTAGTTGTTTACTGCAAACAACTACCGTAATATCGTCAACATTCCTATATTAATGAATGGCAATCCTCTTACTGAGTCCTCCTTATTACGTCTTCTTGGATTATCGCTTACTACTGACCTTTCATGGAAACCATATATACAATCGATTTCTAAATTAGCTTCTGCTAAGGTTGCTTCTTTTTATTGTGCTCGCCATTTCCTTACTTCTGATTCCATTCTCTACCTCTACAAATCTCTTATTTGTCCCTGTATGGAATACTGTTGCCATATTTGGGCTGGTTCTTCTAACGATCCACTTTCTCTTCTTGACAAGGTCCAAATACCCATTGTAAATGTTGTTGGACCTGGACTATCTGCTAAGCTTGAACCTCTTTCCCATCGTCGTAAAATTTTTTCTTTCTCTTTTCTACAAATACTACCATGGTCACTGCTCAAAGGAGTTATCATCTCTAGTTCCATCAACTAAAATTCATTCTTGTTTTACTCGTCATTCAGCTAAGTCTCATTTGTGTACTGTATCTGTCCCTGCATGCTCTAAAAACTTTTATTCATCTAGTTTTTTTCCCCGCACTTCAATCCTTTGGAACTCTCTCCCATCTTCAGGTTTTCCTGACTCATACAACCTTCAGTTTTTCAAGTCTTCTATCAACCGTTTCCTTGCTCTATAACTCTGTTCTTTTTTTTCCTAGTAACTCCCAACTTAATAGTTGCTGCTTGCAGCCTTAATGGGAGTGAATGCAAATAAAAAAAAAAAAAAAAGATTCAACCAATGGAAAGTTACTTCAAAGACCACAAATATTTGTGAAAGATATACTGCCCAGTTAGGTGTGGGAATGGTTTTTTTTTTTTAATATTTTGATTACTTTTATCATGGTTTAAGTTTAAAGAGAACTTGACTCATTCATAGATAAAGCACAACATCCCAAGCAATGAGCTATGCAATTGTCTCAGTCTTGCTAATTAACTTAAATTCATAACTTAGAGCTCGTTATGTGGCTTCAACAATGCACATCAAAGGCATTAGCAGGAAAACCATCGATGCCCAACATGACGTCTTTAATACTCTGATATTTTACAGATGTAGATGGAATGAAGAGCTACTGCAGAGTTCGGGAAACCTTACTACCAGCTGGCTTCAGAACCATTAAACTGAGATTTAGAGCTGTACCCTCATTAGGAGATAACAGAAAGAGTTATCAAGCAAAAATATAGAATCAACAAGATCCAGCATTTATCATCCTAGACAGGAAACAATATGACACAGGTTTACATTTGCAACAGCCTGATGGATGAAGAAGAGGTTTGTCAACAAAATTATTATGCTTACCCCTTAAGTGTTTGCCTAGAAGGCCTTCTATAATACAATAGCTGGATGTAGTTAACATCTGCTCAAGATGAGTATTTTTATCACAACACTAGCTCTAGCTTTTACTCAACCAAGAGCCTCAAGCAGGGGAATTTTAAGTCAGAGTTTTTTTCTCCTAGCCTTTGCCTTAAAAAAGCAAACCTTACAAGGCAGCAGGGTATAGGGAAGGCAGTACTAGGTTACATAATATCAGTGCAGGGTGTTCGTGATAAACCAAACCTGACCTAAAAGAGTTAAAAGAGGTTATTTCATGAAAGAAGTACTTTAAAACATTGATGGGGATATTTTGGAAATGCATCACGAAAAACATTACATCTAACAGAATACTAGAGATTAAGGTGAGCATAAGTTTTATAGTTGGAGTCACTAGTAATAAACTGAGCTCACACTGCATTAGAGATTTAATCAAAACACAAACATAAATATAGTAACTTACAGGTGCATAAACAGTGCACCAGAGGTTTGGACAGAACAAAAACATACATATAGTAACTTACGGGCAAATAAACACTATGCCAGAGGTTCAGACATAATACAAACATACATATAATGACTTACAAGTGAATAAACATTGTGCCAATTGTTTAGACAGAACATAAACGTACATATAGTAACTTTTCAGTGAGGGAACAATGCGCCAGAGGTTCAGAAAGAACACAAACATGCAAATAGCAACTTACAGGTAATTTAACACCATGCCAGAATATACAAAAAATTTTAAATTTTTTTAATGCAATTGCTAAATAAAATTATTAAAAAATGAAAAAAATAATGAACCAAACCTTCACATGTTTTAAATGATATCATCTTTGAACGACTTCCAATTCCAGCTTGGTTGCTTGCATATACAGAAAAATAAACTTGTTCATTATACTTTAAATTTACACATTCAAAAAAATGCTTCTCTCCTTCATAGATAAGCTCAAATTCAATACCATCATTACTTTTCTCTAAATAAAACTTATTTATTCTATCAACAGACTGCTTCCAAACAAGCAGTATTTTGTTGTTCTCCATAATACACGCATCAATCTGAAAGTGTGGAGCTCCTATCAATAAAATCATTAAGTATGTAATATAAAATGTTGGCTAATAACCTGTATTATAAATATTATATATTAAATATATAAATATTAGTGGGCAATAAAACTAATTAGTATAAATAATATAGTAAGATCCGACAATTGATATATAAAATAAATAAATGCAACCAAAATTGAAATAACATAATAGAAAATTTTTACATTACTTAATAAAATACTTTACAACAAAAAAATTTTTAAATGTAAAAAAACATTCTTTACTGGTCATTAAGTACACAGAACTTAAACAAAAGTATAGGAAACTAATTAAAAAACATCACAGTTTAAGCTTCAGACATTTTTTAACATAAATAATATTTAAATTAAAAGTCACTATTAGGTGGTCACTACTTTTTAATTAAAAAAAAATTATTTAAAAAATTTTAAAAATTAAAAAAAAAATTCATATTATTATATATTTTAAATTTAATTTTATGTAAAGCTTATAAAAAACTTAAGGATGACAACCTACTTAATCCTGTTATGTTAAATATTATCTGTGCCAGATAACACACTGGGAGCTGAAAAACCTAGAAATTAACAACAATCTAAAATATAAAAACACGTTGATATTTATGATATTTATGATTTTGATATAAGACACTTGTATTATTTTGTTATTTATTACTATAGGCTTTAAGTTAAAGCTATATTTAAAGTTTTAACAAATATACATATTTTCAATAAGAAAAATTTTAATCAAAAAACAGTGTGTTTAAATGGTATGTTAAGGCCAAGGTTGGGGAATCAATTTAATCCCAAAATGAAGAAAGACAAGACACAAGAAGGGATCTGTTCATACCATACTGAAGGTTAATTCCAAATGAAGGAGATAATGTTCTAATTTTTTTCTCAATTTTAACCATCAAAGTAAAAAAATTTAAAAAATGACAAATAATGAACAACAAACCTATTTATTTAAAAAAATAATAAAAAACAAATGAATCAGACAGCTTAGCAAATTAAAAGTATTCATATTTTTTTAAACATTCTAATTGCCATTCAACATAATTAAAACAACAAAAAACTGAAAATGTTTTACTTGGAGGAGCTAGCCAATAGAAGCGCTTCAAAGTCTTCCTAGAAGATTGAGAATCCACAACCATCCCTTTAAATGGAATGACTTTTCTTAACTTCTTGCATAGTAAAATATCTTCATTAGTTTTACTGGTAAGTTCTTTATATCTAAAAAAAATTATAAAATATATAGTCATAAAATATAAAATCTAAAAAATAAAACCTTATTGATATGTGCGATTTTATAAATAAATTTGTTGACCAAATTATCTTTATGGTCAAAATGGTAGTGGCATAGTGGTAATGTACCTAATGGAATGGATTTTGTATATCTGATATAAGTTTTTTTTTAAATCTTAGTTAACTAAATGCTCACCATGGAAAAAGAAAATAAAATAAAAGATATCAAAATATAATTACTTATAAATATTTGTACAAAATTATAGCATTTCTGTAAAAATATACTGAGTTAAAGTCAATATGCATTCTGTTTGTCTAGAAACAAATAATCAATAAAAAATAAGTTGCCAAAAATGTATTAAAAGCAGTGGTGAACCAATCCTCTTGATATATGAAAGATTTACAATAACATTTGGCATGCTGGTCTTCTTTAAAAGCTTGCTTCATATGGTGTATCTTGAAAAATTGTTAAGATTATTTATTTTTAACCGCAGTATTAAATTCATCTTTGAATGTCAACACTCTTCTTCATTTCCAGTAATTTCTGGGGTATCTCAAGATATCTTTGATCCTGTGTTGTCCTCCTGTGTTGTTACTTTATCCTCCTGTGTTGTTACTTTATTATTGATCCTCCTGACAATATTACATCTAAAGTGACACTATTTGCTGGCCACTCATTTTTATACTTCTTTCATGACAATCTCTTTATTTTTAGATCGCTTAGAAAAGGCAGCCTATCTTAAATCTGATCTATTGTAACAGCTTGAAGCTTGCAGTGGCTTGTGAATTTAAAATCCAACAAAACTTAGATATTTACTGTAAACAACTATCACAATATTGTTGACATTCCTATACTAATGAATGGGGACTCTACTGAGTCCTCTTCATTATGTCTTTTTAGATTACCATTTACTTCTGACCTCTCATGGAAACTATATATACAATCTATTGCAAAGTGAAATCTATTGCAAAGTGAACATCTGTTATAATTGCTTCTTTTTATCACGCTCACTATTATCTTACTGATTCCATTTTCCACTTCTACAAATCTTTTTTCTTACACTGTTTTAAATGCCACAGCTTTAAACTATTGTAAGAATTGAAAAAACTTGTAAAAAGCCCAAGTAAACTTGGGTATCATTGTTGGTAAACCAAATCATTAAAGGTTTTAATTATTACCATTTTGTTTATTATTCAATGTGAAAATTATTACTAAAATATTTCTTTTATTTTTTAGAGTTTACTCTCAATATAACTGCTAAAAAGCATTAAAAAAAGCAATCACTACTTAAAATTGTTTTACTCTCTCAGAATGTTGAACTTTGAAATGATGACTCCTAAATAGTGCCACTAATTTCTGAAAACTATTGCCACAACAAAACTCAACGTACCATAAATAACTTAAGTAAAGTTACTTTAAAGCATGTTGAGTAACAAAAATAAGTTGAACTTAAAATTATAATTTCATATCAAAGGTACCTTGACCTAAAGTTAGCATAAAAGCTCTACTGCAACTAAAAAACCGTTAACTAATAGCTTTTTGAAATTTTCTGTTGAGCTGCGTACACTCACCCTTGCTTCCAGTCAAAAAAAAATTTTTTTTTTTAAGAGATTAAATTAAAGAAAACAAGAGAACCAAACAATTAAACAAAAATAAAAAGCAAATAAAACATAAATTTTTATAAATGTTAAAAAATAATGAGTTGTTCAGAAATGAGTTGTTTGGAAAGATTTTCTGAATTTTTTGGTGGAACAACACTTACCTCTTTTAGTTAAGCAAAAACTTGTTTTCTTGTTGGTCAAAAAAAAAAAAAAAGTAATTAAAATTAAAAAAATGTTTAATTGCAAATCTCTAACAAATGATTGTTTTGAATTTTACAAATAAATTTTTATTTTGATTTAATGCTAGCACAATAACAAAGTGACATAAATATAACTGCAGAAATAATAAATATAAATACACAAACTAACCTTTTATCAATTGCAGGCATAGACTAAAGAAAAAAGCTATATTTTAAGTTTTTTTTCCAGTTGAATAAATAGTTAAATTTTAAATTAGTTTTAAAAAAAGTATTCAAAACTAATTTAAAAAAGATATTTTTATTTAAATTATTTTTTAATTAAAAAAAATCCCACAAACATCAAAACATCACCCAAACTCAGTAAAAAAAACTAATTTAAAAACATATTACTTCAAGAATTGCGACAGGGTCTTTGCAACTGATTGCATATGAAATAATGTCTTGTATTTTCAAAAGATTATTATAGTCTATAAGTAACGCATCTAAATTAGTGTTTAACATTTTTAACACGCTACAGTATTTTTTATCTAGTTCCTCAAGCATTCTTGCACGGTTCACTTCAATAAGGTTAATCAGCTGATCACACTCACGGTTAACATTAGCCTCTGTGATCAAACCAGATTGCTAAAAATAAAATTATTTACAGATTTAAAACTTCGTTAGACAATAATATTTTAACTAATGATAACATATGTTTAATAAACTCTTAGATCATCTGAAAATGTATGTGTATATATATATATATATATATATATATATATATATATATATATATATATATATATATATATATATATATATATATATATATACATATATATATATATATATATAGAGGGATTATTAAAGACACTAAATTATATGCAGACGATACCAAAGTTATTTCAATCAATTATTGTTATGATGATAATAAAATATTACAAGAGGATATTAACAGGTTAGTTAAATGGTCTGAAGATTGGTTAATTACATTTAATGAATCAAAATGTAAAGTCATGTATATTGGCAAAAAGAATCCAAGATATGAATATAAATTGAACAACTCTGTTTTAACAGAAACAATGATAGAAAATGATCTTGGGATTTTCATTTCAAATAATCTAAAGTGGAAATATCATGTTAATTCAGCTATAGGTAAAGCAAACAGAAAATTAGGCATGATCAAAAACTCTTTTGAGTATTTGGATGAACTTTCATTAAAGTTACTATACAAATCGTTAGTACGTCCCCATTTGGAATATGGAGCAACAGTTTGGAGTCCATTTTGGAAAAAGGACATTGACAATCTTGAAATCGTGCAACACAGGGCTACGAGAATTGAATCTTTAAGGGGGAAGTCGTATGAAGAAAGATTAAAGATACTTGAATTGCCAACTTTGTTTGATAGAAGAAGAAGAGGTGATCTGATTCAAATGTATAAGATCTCAAAAGGAAAAGATATTGTTAATTTTCACCATCCTCCTTTAAATTTTGAGCTGGAGCGATCTAGTAGAAGTAACAATTGTAGAATACGCAGACAATTTACAAAATCAAGAATTCGTCACCATTTCTTTACAAACAGAGTTATAAATGATTGGAATTCTCTTCCACAATGGATATTAGATAAAGATAATTTGAACATTTTTAAAAACAGTATCGATAATTATTTCGGTTTCTGAACACTAATTTTTGTAATCGGCTGTCATAGTCTTAATTCTACGTAATTAAGACTCTACACACCTCAAGTGTGTACAGCACCTTTTCTATTCTATTCTATTCTATTCTATATATATATATATATATATATATATATATATATATATATATATATATATATATATATATATATATATATATATATATATATATATATATATACAAATAGCATTGCGTACTATTGTAAGCAATCTGATGTCATACTGATATAGTCTGCTGCTGGGGGCTTCGGTACATACATCGACTGACAAATAGCCTGACTTACAGTGGAGTGCTGCTACATTGACCGAGGGTTTGGGATGGGAAAGCAATCGTTTCATTCATCATTCTTTGTTTTTTCTTCTTCTTTTTCGAAAAAAAGGGTATAGCTTAAGGTAAGCAGAAAAATGAGCAAATGCTTATCAAAACACGCTTTAGTAAGTGTATATATATATATTAGGGTGAGTCATAAAATTTTTTTTCCTTGTTACAGGCTCTAAACATTGCTAGAAAGTTGTTTTTTTATGTACTAATTTAGGAAAGTATTTACTTTTATTGATTGAACAATGTCTTCCACCCGCAACTATAATTTCAAAAATTAGCAGGCCCTATTATTATTCAAAAAAAAAGTTTTTCAAAATTTGATGTAGGTACTCAAATAAAGCGAAATTTTATAAAAATTCCAAAATAATAATTTTTTTATATAAAAATTATTATTTTAGATTTGATTGCATAATAACTATAGTTTTTTTAACTAAGAGTGAAAAAGGTGCATTTTTACATGCTTTTTCAAAACAGTTTTTATCAGCAATATGATTTTTATAAAACCATTATTATTTTCGAATTTTTTATAAAATTTTGCTTCTTTTGAGTACCAGGTTGACCTACTTTTAAAAAACTTTTTTTTTCTAAAATATTAGGGTACCGGTAATTTTCCCAATAAAGTTGCGCCCTTTAAATCTATCACAATCATTCTCATATTTGATAGTATCAATATTAATAACTATTAGCAATTTTTAGAGCCTGTAACAAGAAAAAAAAAAATTTTTGACCCACCCTAATATACACATACAATATTTAGGTATTTCTATTTAAAATATATATATATATATATATATATATATATATATATATATATATATATATATATATATATATATATATATATATATATATATATATATATATATATATAAAAAGAAATTTAAACTAATTTTTTATAAACTTTATTTTCACATACCTGCTCTAGCTAAGTGTTAGAGATAATATACAGAGATCTTTGAACATTCTGGTAACATATGTAAGCATTACACTGAGTAAAACATATATAATATTAAGGAGAGAAGAACTTATTTATAAAATATTTATATTTCACACTATGTAACAGACCCTTCGTTATTTTAACTTTTTTAAATTCATCTTATTTTTATTTCTTTTTTAGGTAAAGAAAATTTAAATCTATCACAATCATTCTCATATTTGATAGTATCAATATTAATAACTATTAGCAATTTTTAGAGCCTGTAACAAGAAAAAAAAAAATTTTTGACCCACCCTAATATACACATACAATATTTAGGTATTTCTATTTAAAAAATATATATATATATATATATATATATATATATATATATATATATATATATATATATATATATATATATATATATATATATATATAGCATGTACTTGTTGATGTCTTAAATATTTTATAATCTTTAAAAAAAAAAATTATGTAAAAAAAAATGCACTAAAATACAGGGAGACCTAAAAACATACAGGGAGACCTAAAAGGACTACGGCTTTAAATCTTTTTTTTTTCTTCCTGGAATCTGGTGTCGAGGAGCTTTAAAAATGTTACATGACTTATAATTTGCAATAAAAAAAAATTAATGAGATTTAATGATTTGGAACTTATTATTTTTTAGCCATGAGTCTTGAGCCGCGGAGTCACCATTATGCATAAGGTCTCCTTGTTCAACAAGTGATTGTTTCTCTAACCTAAAATTCTCAAACATTTGTCTTTATTTTTTTTCCTCAAAGTAGTTTACGGATACCAAAAACCAGGAAGAAATAATCTTTTTGTACCTTTTAAATCCGAAGTCCTTTTAAAGACAACATATTCCAGATTTAAATAATTTACAAACTTTTATGTCAAATACAAACTGTTCCATCTTTTGAAGGTTCATTGTGACTTCTGCAGATTTGTATTGACAACTCTGCTTGTTTTTGAACAGTTTATTCTAAAAAAAAATATCTATAGAACATTTAAAAAATTACTTTTTTACTTAAAAAATTCTAATTTATATATATATATATATATATATATATATATATATATATATATATATATATATATATATATATATATATATATATATATATATATATATATATATATATATATATATGTATATATATATATATATATATATATAACATTTGTAAATATATACCACATCTGTATCGCATCTATTGGTGGCAAGCACAGTGGCATGATTCTTATGGTTACCAATTTCTTTACACAAAAAACAAATGCACACTCCACAATCTAAACATAGCAATTTCTTTTTTTCATCTGAATGATATCTGCAAAAATGATAGCAATCAAAACTATTCTCTTGAACTGGTGTAATCCTGTGATTATTTTTTGTTCCATTTTGAAAATGAAGAGAACCACAACAGTAGTTATAATTGCATCCTTAAAATTTAAACAAAATTAACTATTTAACTATTTTAAATTAAATAAATTTGTTTACAAATAATTTTATTTTTTCGTAAAAAAGAGAGCCTTTTATGTTGAAAAAGAGGGAGTAAAAAGAATAATATTGACACGTTAAAAAAAAGAAATAATGGTAAAATAAAAAAAAGAAGTGAAAAAAGTTGTTTTTATTAGCTGGGCGAAAACAGATTAGTATGCAACATTACTAAGTGTTTAATTCTGGTATTGCTGTCATAAATAATAAACAATTCGATATGCAAAATTCTTGATAGACTATTAACTTTGGTATTCTAGTGAACTGTCAATTTTACCCCTTTATTAGGTAAGATTGGCAGTACTATGTTTTATGCTATAAATGTAAGTTACACTATGAGAATTGACATTATCATAAACATTTTGAAAAATAAAATAGAGAAAACTTTTTAAATATAATAATAATAATATAATAATAAGGTATAACTGTAACAACTGTTTTAAACAGTTGTGAAGTGCAATAACATAAGATATTGCACTGTAACAGCTCATTTTGTCTTTTGTTTGTGTTTTAACAAATAGTTTCTGCAAAATCCAGCTCTGTCTAGTTTGTTTTTGAAGTTATTTATTGAAGTAGCTTCTATTATTTTGGATGGTAAGCTGTTCCACGCATTTACAACTCGATTTTGGAAAAAATGATACCTGAAGGTATTTCTGCTAAAAGGCTTCCTCATTTTGAATTTGTGTTGTCGCAGACATGGACCCTCCTCCAATGCATTTCCACAATCGTTAGCAACCCAATTTATTTTATCGTGGCTATGCTGAATTTTATATTGTTGAATCAGATCTCTACGTAGTCTACATTCTTCCAGTGACGTTAATTGCATAATATTCAACCTAGCCTCATATGATAATTTCCTAATTGTAGGTGCTAGTTTGGTTGCTCTTTTTTGGATTTTCTCAATCTTGTCTCTGTCTTGTTTTAAAAATGGAGACCATGCCTGGACCGCAAACTCAAGATGTGGACGTATGAACGTTGTATAGAGCATTTTTACCATGTTTACATCTAAATATTTAAAGCTTCTCTTTATGGTACCTAACATTCTGTTTGCTTTGCTGGTTGCTGAATCAACTTGTGAGTGCCATTTTGAATCGGATTGAACCATTATACCCAAATCACGTTCAGCTTTTGTGTTACACAATGTATAATTGTAATTGCAATCAATATCAGTCATTATAAATGTAGCATTTGGATTTTTTTTCCCAATATGCATAACTTTGCATTTTTCATAATTAAATTTTGTGAGCCAAATAGATGACCATGCCATTATGTTATTTATATTATTTTGAAGGCTTATTGAATCATTAGAATTTTTTATAATATTTATTATTTTACTATCATCAGCGTAAAGTTTAATAGGGTTTTTGACTTGATCTGGCAAATCATTAATAAAAATCAAAAACAGCAGTGGTCCTAAAACTGACCCCTGTGGTACACCACTAATAACTGGTAGCCAATCTGAGACTGTGTCGCCAAGGACCACTCTCTGTTTTCTGTTAGTTAAAAAGTTCTCTATCCATCCCAGATAATTTCTCACAATACCATATGATTGAAGTTTAGTGATCAAACGCGAGTGTGGTACTTTATCGAAAGCCTTTTCAAAGTCTAGATACAACATATCAACTGAGTGGCCATTTTCTAGTGCATCTGTTATGATATCAAGAGTTTCCAATAGGTTTGTTGTGCAGCTTTTATTTTTTCTGAACCCATGCTGATTTTCATTTAATAAGCTGTTATTTATTAGATAATCCATAATTTCATCTCTAATGAGTGATTCCAAAACTTTACATGGGATAGAAGTCAATGAGATTGGCCTGTAATTAGATGCAATGTTCGTATTACATTTTTTAAAAATTGGTGTTATATTTGCTAATTTCCAGAGTTCAGGTAATTTTTTCTCAGTCAACGATTTTATATATATTAAATGTAATGGTTCACAGAGAGTACTATGACATTTATTTAAAACATATGGGCTTATCCCATATACTCCGATAGCTTTGTAAACATTTTTAATTTTTTTTCAATAGTATGGCAAGTTATTTTATTATTTATATCTTCTTCTAGAATAATTTCAGTCTTCTGCGGTATATTTGGTATGTTATGTTTATCTTCGTTAACACAAACTGAATTGAAACTATTGTTTAAAATATTTGCTATAGATTCTCTATTTGTTACAATGTTATTATATTCATTAGACATTGAAGCTATTCCTCCTTTAATTTTTTTGTTAGAATTTACATAACTATAAAATAACTTGGGATTTATTTTTGATGCTTCACTGATTTTTTTTTCATATTCAATACGTTTTAGCCTCACCATTTTTTTAACTAATTTACTTTGTATTTTGTATTGCTGAACCAAAATGGGTGATTTGGATTTATTTGATATTAATTTGTTCCATAAGGTTGTTTTATGTCTGATTTCAGTCTTAATTTGTTTGTCAATATATGGTTTTAAAGCTATGTGTTTATGCACTTTTTTAGGTATATAACAGTCAGATAATTCTTGATATTTATTTACAAAAATTTTGTAGCATTCATCAACGTTTTTATTAGAAAAAATATGTGACCATCTTATACTATGGAATGAATTGTTCATTTCTTGATAATTTCCGGCTTTGTAGTTAAACTTTGATTTCCCATAGGAGGATTTTGATGTTGTTGGTTTTTTTAAGATGTAATTCCAATACAATATCTGATGTGCATTATTTAAATTGCTTAACGGAGGATTATAGCCTATGATCGAAATACGCTCTGGTGCATCGGTTAAAATCAAATCTAAGGTATTGCCTTCTGACAGTGTCCCTGAATTAAAGGTTGGTTTTGTGACGTTTTGAGTCAAAAAGTTATCATTTAAATTGTCTAAAAAAATTTGTGCTTGTCTATCATTTTTTAACACTGTTTGGATATTCTCATCATTCTCATTCCATTTTATATTTGGGTAATTTAGGTCTCCGGCTAAGAGTAGACCTGAATATTTGTTGCAATCAACACTTTTTTTAGCTATATTTATTATTTTATTTATTTTTTGATTTGTCAATTCTGTAGCATCTGGTGGACGATATATGCTACCAATTAAGATATTCTCATTTTCTGTTTTAATTACACACCAGACTTGTTCAACTGTCATTTCTTCAGATGCTAGGTCATATGGAGTAAAAGCAATGTATTTATTTTTAACATAAATAGCTACACCTCCGCCATGAGATTTAGTTGAATTAGATTTAGATCGATTGTTGTAAATAACATTATACCCGCTTACATTTATGGCACTTGATGAGTTAAACCAAGTTTCAGTTACAATAAATATGTCAGGATTATACACTGCTATTTCTAACAAAAACAAATCGAACTTATTGTTAAGTGAAGTCGCATTTGTATATCTACAACATAGATGGTATTTGGGTATTGATTTGCATAATAATACTTCTGATTTAACATAATTAGATACAGGATTATGTGTAGAAAGGACAGCCATTACTGCAGGTTGATACAAATTAATTGAGGATTGCTATTGCTTTGGTTTTTTTATGAGTTTCACAACTTTAAAATTTCTTATAGTGTAGTAGTATTCATCTTTTTGATTTAGGCTGGCATTTAACAATTTAACTTCACTACGTAGCTGTTTAATGTATAAGCACTAATTATTTATTAGCATTATTACTTATTATCTGTCATTTTTTGCTAGATTTCTTTGCATTTTTATTTTGGTGTTTTGTATAACTTCTGAAACAATAAGTGAATTCCTCACTAGCATTATCCAACATTGATCACTGATGGATTTTCTCTGTCTGCAACAAAAGTTGGTTCTTGAAGCTGTTCATCAGCAATTTAATGGTAGGTTTTTGTAAACTATTTCAGTTTTTAGGTTTACTTCTTTTGGTTGATAACATTTCATTAAATTGTGCACTAGATTCATCAGATGTAATGCATGCCACCAAATTTCTCTAGGTTCTTTTTTCATTAATTTTCTCAGGTTGTGTTTGTTGAAGATTTTTTAAAAATAATACTTTTAGTTGCTTATTTTGAGCTGGATTTGTGCACTCGTACTGATCTCATTTTGATCATATCATGAATATTCTAAAACAAGAGTTTACCATATAAATAGTGTATTCTTGTTTTGAGTTTTATTATTACTTGTGTTGATAATTACACTCCACCTCACAGGTTCTTCCGTCCAAACCGTTTACAGTACACTTTTTTTAGATTCATTAATGTTTTTCCAAATTCAGCTTCAACTATGCATATCATTTTTATTCACATCATTGATATCTTTTTTATGGCTTTTTATCATAAAATCTATATGTTGAACTTGGTTTTTTTTATGTACTTGCAAGAAATGATATTATCTGCATTAAAAAAATCAATTAATGGCTTATTCAAACTTTTATGTGCGGAAACCATGCTCTACAAAAAATAAAAAATTAATTGTTTATTTACTCATACTTAAAACGTACTAATGCCATAAGTTATTTTCATATTACAATACAATACATAATTTATATATTGTCATAATATTTTCATAAGTTATGACGATAGTTAGTCTAATGAAATAAATCTAACAAAGTAAAAGTCCTAATGTCTTGTTAATTTAATAAGACATTAGGACTTTTATGTATATATGCTTGACAGACTCGTGAATAACTCTGACATTCCAGTCAATTTTATCCCAAAATTTAATGTGCCTTTAAAAAAACAAAGAAAAATATCATTTAAAATGGTTTTTTTTACCTTATAACTAAGGTTTTTCGGCAATAATGTTGAACATTATGTCTGCCATGATGTGTTGTTATATAAACGTTAGTGATGTACATATTTATTTATTCGATAAATAGCTGCAAGTAAAAACAAAACGTATTTAATGTCTAAAATACATTTTAATACGTTTTTTAGTGGATTAAAACACGTCCTTGTATTTACTAGGCTTACCTAGTGTACACAAGACG